CAGAGCGCTGGCAGCTTCGTGGTGACATGATGGTCTCAGGTTTTCACAAGAGAAAGGAGCACGCACTCTGCATCCCTTGGACTAGTGGCTCAGGAAACACGGAGGAGGAGGAAGCCCCCAGTAAAAACAGGACCTGCCTGAGCAAGGCAYGGGGAACAGGAACATACAGATCCAGCAGCAGATGCAGCTGCTCTCATACAAACAACTTCGTACCTTGGGGGTCACAACATCAAGCTCTGCCTTCGGCTGCTCGCGCTTCTTGCGGGTCTTTCCTGTGAGAGGGGACACGCCAGGTTAGGCAGGTGAGAAAGACACGGCGCAGACCCTGCTCGCCCTCCTCCCCAGAGAACCGGTACCCACCGAAAAGAGACTGGAGGTGACCTCTCGGGGACACCACCTGGCAAGCGGACTCAGGTGGGCATGCACAAGGCTCAAGGGGCCTCCCTTCCCCTCCCAGTAGACTCCTCCAGGACACAGGGACTGCCACATCACCAGCCCCAGGGAGCGCTCCACAGCCCAGGGCCACCACACTGTCRCAGGGGCCTCAGGAGGTCCTGGACCCTCTGTCCCCAGGACAGCAAGCACAGGGTTTCTCCCTTCCCACTCTCCCGCAGCAATCGCAGGTCCCATTGAGATGGGGGGACACTCACCTTTGGGAGCCACGGGACCAGGCTCTCCCTGCAAGGAAGGAGACAGAGCATTGACTGGACTGTGATCAACCCAGAGGCACCACCACCACCACGAGAGAGCTCTCTCCCAGCATCTGCCCAACTCAGAGCAGGAGAAGTGACCTCGAGACAACATCACCTACCTGGATCCTCAGCTGGGCATGAGATGGGCCCAGGACACTGGGAACCCCTGCCCTTCCTCCCCCAAGGCTCTRAAGCCCCACAGCTCTTTGCTGACAACCTGCTATCCTTCCACATCCTCCTCCYACCCCTTGCGGGGCTGTCCCACTTGGTTTGAGGGATGGGTGGGGAAGGGAGGGTTGAGTTTCAGGTTCAAATGGATTTAAGGACCATATACAAAAAGGCATAAACGCTGCTGGAGCCCCAGGCGGGACAGAGACAACCTCTTGCAGCCCTGCCAGTTCCTCCAGCAGCAAGGACAGAGCCGAGGCTGCCCAGCAGCAGAAGGAAAGGAGCATGGAGATTCACACACCCCTTGGACTAGCAGCTCGCAGGGAACCACGAGGAAGGAGCCCCCAGGAAACACAAGACCAGTCTGAGCAGAGGGGCGAGGCACTGGTAATGRCGGGGTGCGGGGGGGTTCAATCACGAAGCTTTGTACCTTGGGGGTCGCAACATCAGGCTCTGCCTTCAGCTGCAYACGCTTCTTGCGGGTCTTCCCTCCTGCAAGAGGGGATCCGACCAGGTTAGACTGGTCAGCAGGACACGGCGCAGGCCCTGCTCACTCTCCTCCCCAGAGAGCCAGCACCTCAGGAAACAGAAACTGGAGGAGGTGACCTTATGGGGACACCATCCAGGATAACATGTGGACTCAGTCAGCATGTGGCAGGGCTCAAGGGGCCTCCCTTCCCCTCCCGCCAGACTCCCCCAGGACACAGGGACTGCCACATTCCCCCTCACAAGCCCAAGGGAGGGTTCCATGGCCCAGGGCCACTGTGCCCTCCCAGGAGCCTTGGGAGGTCCTGGCACGCCGCTCCTCTGAGCTGCTTTGCTCCTCCACACTCACCTTTGGGAGCCATGGGACCAGGATCTCCCTGCAAGGAAGGTGACAGAACATTGACTGGGACGCGATCAACACACAGGAACGAGCTCCACCACCACRAGAGCTGCCTTGCAGGTGCTCTCAGCTAGACTGCTGGGTCCCCTCTATGCCCCTTCTCCACCCCATATTCAAGCTGGCCTTAGGAAAGCAGCCCCACTGCTTCAAGACACCGACACACTCTCACTTTGTGAATGGGGCTCACGAAGGAACAGGGCTACCAGACCATCCTGCGAGCCGAGCCCCTGCTCCTGCCCTAGAGGGAAGATCGTCCCTGGAGAAGTCAGCTGCGGCATGGAGGGTCCCTGCAGCCCCATCTGCACCAGTCCTTGGGACAGGGAGGTCTCCAGAAAGCAATCTTGGGCTCCTACCTGGAACCAGATGGTCCTGCCTTTGCTGTCACGCAGACAGTTCATGCCAGGCACGGAGTAACACTGCAGCCAGGTCCTGAACGCTGTGGCATCATTCGAGTGCTCGGGATCATAGCCCTCTCCTCCTAAAAAAGGGAGACATGAAAAGTCACAGAAGATTCGAGACAACAAAGCAGAAGCTCTCCAGTCTGACCCAGGCCAAGGGGGAGCATCGGGGATTTGCCTGCTGCCCTAACTACGATGTTGGGGCCCCCCACTCCRAGGCTTCTGCTGCTGGGCACATAGGAGAGGCTGGTGAGTGCCCAGGTCTCCCTGATCACCCCGATGTCCCTGCTCACATCCTGCAGCCTCACCCAGCTCAACGACCTCCATGGGCACCGTGTGGCAGAGCTCCAGGAGATCCGGGTTCTCCCGCTTCAGTTTCAGCTTCTTGCTCAGCGTCAGGGAAGGGTCCTGCCAGGGTGGACAAGAGAAAAGAAGTCACCCACCAGTTCTGCTGGCCTCATTTGGGTCTCTCCTCCTGCCTCCCAGCCCAATATCCCATCACGTCTGGTGTGCAACAGCAGTCCTTGGGTTTGTCCTTGCTGGCTCCTTAAAAATAGCCACCCTGGGCCCCAAGATCAGAGAAGTCCAACAGGAACTCAGCTGTGGGCTCTGCCACAGCCTCTCACGAGATCTGAAGCTCGTGAGCTGCTTGTTTTCTTTGTCCCTTCTTCCCTCTCCCCGCTCAGCCCCACATGTGATGGTACAGATCTGCAGCCCGCCTTCGACGCTTCACCGGAGGGGCAAACTGCTCACACACGGCTGCTTATRGCCAAGGACAGGAAGAAGCTCGACAAGGAAGATCCCCTGCAGCGAGAGTTATGGGAGCAAAGGGAATATTCCTGCTGCCAGGCTGGAAAACCAGGCGCACAGGGTTTTGAACGTGGGTGCACCCTGAGCCCCGTGAAGACCCATCCACAGGGTCCTCAGGGCAGKAAAACCTCCCGGCAGCAGGACAGGGAAGGGTGATGGTGACAAGAGCTCTCTGGGGGCTCTGTGACACCGTTCTGCCCCATCAGAGCGAGGAACCAAACGGGAACTGAAACTGGCCTGAAGCCTGGGCTAGAACAAGAGCAGAACTGAACCAGAACCAGGTGCCCAGCTGAGCCCAGGCCGGGATCTGGGAGCAAATGGAACCACTTCCAGCACTGCTGAGCCCAGAGCTCAACCAACAACGTTCCTCGCCTCAGTCCTGCTCCCTGCACAGAAGGTGAGAGGCTCTGGGGGCCTGGGACAGCTGCTGAGCCCTGCAGCGCTACAAGCAAACAAGTCCCAGAAATCACATTTTTTCTGGAAATTCACCCTTTCCTTGCCCARGGCAAAGCAGGCAGCACACACACTGGAGCAGTGTCTGGCTCAGGATGAGCTGCAGAAGGAGCGAGCACTCATTCCTGCACCAGTTTACCCATGGCAAGAGGGATGAACCAGACAAGGGCTGCAAACTTCCCATCTGCTCTCTTAARAAAATTCACTGTAAGAAATTAACACATTTGGAACATTTGCCCCTAAAGAAACTTTGCCTGAGAAATCCCATRGAAAGCGAGAGGGGGAAAAAGCAGACCCTGCATTCGCGTGGACGCCGAGGCAGGGCTCAAGCAGGCAGAACCACCCGCGTATCTCCCCTCTCCTCACCTGCTCCCGGTGCTTGAGGGCTTCCAGCACAGTGCGAGCCTTTTCGAAAGGAGGGATCTTCAGCCTAGGAGAGCCCGCGTGTGACGCGCAGCCCCGCGCGCGGGGCGCCCCGGGCCGCCCGGCGCGGCGCTGCTCACCTGTACAGGATCTCGGCGCGCAGGTAGTTGCCGATGCCGTTGAAATACTTCTGGTTGAGGAGCGCCTCGCAGATGGGCCGGTCGAACGCCTTGTCCGCCAGGTTCTTGAGCACGTTCTCCCTGCGAGGGAGCGCGGGGCGGCCTTGGCRGCGGCACGGCGCGGCCGCTCTCACCCGAAGGCCGCGTACTCCGGCCGCTCTCACCTGAAGGCCGCGTACTCGGCCAGCACGCAGGGCCCGCGGCCGGGCTGCCAGCGGGCGCCCAGCTGCCAGCGGCCGAAGCGGCGCGCGTCCACGAAGCAGAGGGCGCGCGGCGGG